CTGCAATAATCTCTGTGCCTTAGGACAAGAGGATGTGTTATAGGTGTCCACTGGGGCTACAGGAAGATCCTGCTTCAAAACCACATGGTACAGAAATAATAAATAAATAAATAAATAAATAAATAAATAAATAAATAAATAAATAAATAAATAAATAAATAAATAAATATTTTTAAGTTGATTATACTAACAAAGACATGGGAAACATAATGAAGAGGGAGATAGAAAGAGGAGAGGGAGAGAGGAGAGTGGAGCTTGTTTAAGTTAGCTTTGCCTAAAATGTCCATTAGCACTTAGTCTCAGATTTGCCCCTCATATACCAGTATCATTTCTCCCTTTCTTTTTTTTCCCTATCACTTTACTGTTCAAGTTCCTCTCTAGATCTTGAGAGAGAAGCTGACTGTATCATTTTATTTCTCATTCTTGTTATCTATGCTGTTATTTGTGATGTTTCTCATTTTTCTTACTACAGTGTCTTATGATATCAGAGCCTCAGCCAAGTTTCCTGGAAGAAATTTCATTGCCCTTCAGTTTCATGAAGACTCTCCTAGTTTCTAACTGTGTTCTTGGCTCACTTCACCCATGTAGTGTGAAAATGTAAAATTTTTTCCTTACCTCTGATTTTCTGAAAGGCTTGGTAATGTGCTCTGGATTCAACTATTAACCTATTAACTATTTAACTATCTCTGGTGGGGTGTGCCTTCTGTCCTGGTTACTCAGGAGGCTTAACTGGGAAGATCACTTGAAGTTAGGGACCAACTGTAGCATAACAAGACCCTGTCTAAAAAAGATACCTTTCCTCTTGTCAAAATTGCCTTAGGGGTACAATGAGATGGTTCATCAGGTAAAGGCATTTGCTGCCAATCCTGACAACTTGGCACACATGCACACAAAATAGATAAATAAATGGAAAAATACAAACCTGTTTACTGGTGTGTGTGTGTGTGTGTGTGTGTGTGTGTGTGTGTGTGTGTACTCATATTTACGTAGGCACATCCACAAAACAACTTGGCCACTAGATCTAATGATTTCTGAGGCCAGCAGCAGAGCAGCAGCCATTAGACAGTAGAAGAGGTGATGGGAGACCGACTTTCTGATGTGGAACACTTTCTCTGTGGTTTTGTTGTTCTCAGTACTAAAATCAAACTCAGGGCCTACACATGCCAGGCTAGTGCTTTTACCACTGAACTATAGCCTCAACCTTTCCTATGTTTTATGCCGTTAGTAGAATTGGCAATAAGATGAAAGTAAATAATAAATTAATTATATCGATGAAATTTCATCAGTGGACTAGAATATATAATTGTATAGAAAATTATAAAATTTGGTGTAAAGATAGGTAGCACACTGATTCTGTCAGTGAAGAAACAGTGGAAGCATGAATTATCAGTATATTATGTACACATATGGAGATGTTATAATGAAACCCCTTTGCACCATTAATATTCATTAATAAATTAAAAATTATAAATCATAGATAAGGTAATTGTACACATTTATGGCTTTTGTTTTGTTTATGGTTTTTTTCAGTGTAGGTCCTTAACACGCTAAAAAAGCATTCTCCCACTGAGCTACACCCCCTGATGGCTATTAAGAGAAATGTTGGTCACAGGCATGGCAGTTGCATACTTTTAATCCTAGCGCTCAGGAGACAGAGTCAGTTGGATCTCTGTGAGTTCAAGGCTAGTCTGGTCTACTTAGTGAGTTCCAGGCCAGACCCTGTTTTTTTTAAAAAAAATGTTTTAAAAAATAAAATGAAATGTTGCCCTGCATTTATTACACACTTTATAGTTCATTTATCTGTTTTTTCATATTTACAAAAAAAAAAAAAAAAAAGCCAAGCATGATGGCGCACACCTTTGGTCCCAGCGTTCAGGAGGCAGAGGCGGGTGGATCTCTGTGCATTCAAGGCCAGCCTGATCTCCGTAGAGAATTCTAGGCCAGCTGGAGCTCCAGGGAGACCCTGTCTCAAAAAAGGTTGGGGGTGGGGTGCTAGAGAGATAGCTCAGCAGTTAAGAGCACTTGCTGCTCTTGCAGAGGACTCAAGTTCAGTTTCCAAAACCCATGTAAGGTGAATCATAACCACCTGTAACTCCCAACTCCAGGGGTATCCAACAGGCACCTACACTCACATGCACATAATCACACATATATACACATTTATACATAATTTAAAATAGTAAAAATCTTAAAAAGTTACTGAAATTACCTTATGGGTTAGCCAGTTAGTGTATACGTTTTATAGGCAGTGGCAAAACATAAGTGTACATATAAAAATGAGGAAACTTGGGTTTAGAATGGTTAGGGTGACCTAAGTTGCCACAGATAATACTTGACCCGTAATAGAATCTTTGATGCCCTCATCTGACACAGAATGTAAGCCTGAACCATGGTGAAGCAAATAAAAATGATTTTAGCCATTCAGCATATCAGTACTTTAGTAACTCTAGGCTCCAACCCAATTCCCATCATGAGCAGAAAGACTTTTGACACTGAAAACATAAACCAGCTCTGCACCTCAGTTTACTGGTCTTTTCTTTCACTTGTTCTAGGAAGAGTTGCAAGCCAACTTGGACCTGATTCAAACCTACAGGCTGCATATTGCCCAAGACATCAACCAAGAAAACCTACAGCTCTTCCTGGGTTCCTATAATGGGTAGAGTTGCTTACCCTTCCTTCACTTAACTGTGTAGTCAAGCTCTAAAAAGATGCTTAGCATCTAAGGGAGGAGGAAGGAGAAATAAACTACTGCCATTGTTGTATAATGTGATTGCCTGTGCTTTTTGACCATCCTGGGAGTGGAAGGCTGTAAGACAAATATGAAGACAGCTTTTAGGGAGTTTTGGGTTTTTTAGATGCAAGTCAGTATTTATTGGTTTTTGGATTTTTATTTTATTATTATTATTATTATTATTATTATTATTATTTGCTTGAGTATTTAAAAATTTACTGTCACATCTCTCCCCATCAGAGGATAGGCTGAGGAGAAAGCACTGATTCTTATCCTGGGAATATTTTTTCCAAGGTGAGAATGTGGGCTTTTTCCAGCTTTCTGGGAAGATGGAAAAAGACTGCCTGAGTCAGCTGTAACTTTTCAGAGTTGCACAGCCACTAAGGAGCAAAGCCAAGTTTTGAATCTAGTTTCAAGAATCTCCCTATTTTTAGATGAAATAAAAAAAGTCCTGTGCAAAGCTATTGTAAGGAAAATCCCTCTTTCCAAATAAAAGTAAAAGTCAGAGCTGGGCATGTTGGTGCATTAAAGAATCCCAGCACTTGGGAGGCAGAGGCAGTCAGATTTCTTTATTCCAGGCCAGCCAGGGACTACATAGTGAGACCCTGTCTCAAAATAAGAAAGTGTCAGTCATTCTCTTCTCCTAAGGAACTTATTCTTACAAACCATTTGGAAAATTTAAGTTAGACTTTAGAATTTCAGTAGAGTTGCTATCTGAGTTTTAAGGTTGTCTCCCTTTTTAGCACCCCACAAAATCCCTCTTCCTGCTCTGTATCACTCAAGATGCCACTGAAATAGCTACACAAGAGCATAGCTCAAGGGCCCTCCCCTCCCCAGGTGTGAAGGAAACACAGTGCTCATGGGCCTTAATACTTTGGGTTACATGTCCAGGAAATAACCTGAAGTGATATTATTTTGCCTGCAAAAGACATTGATTCTGCTTTGTTGTTCTAGACGCAGAGACTTGGAGATTGAAAGACCTATACTGGGTCAAAATGATAACAGATTGAAAACGTTAAAGTAAGTACCTCAGTTTCCCCTCTAAATTGCTAAATACGTGCCTGTCCTGACTAACCCAGTGTTCAGCAGAGTATAAGTGCTTACTTGCTGACACCTCTTCTTCTACCTGTACCTAGGTGTTCTACTTTACTGGTGGTAGGGGACAATTCACCTGCTGTTGAGGCCGTGGTAAGTATATACTGATGTGAGGAGGACTGTGTGTGGCATACCGCTGACACACTGGAAATTGGGTAAATACTGTGCTGTGCTGTGTGTAGTTGTACCTATCAGGTTTACTGTTAGACACTTCGAAAGTCCTCACCAGTCACCAGGTCTCATCGGGGTAGATCGGTGTGGCCCTTGATGTCTTGGTGTGCCACAGTCCACTCTGTGGCAAGTAGTACAGTGAAACACTATTTCCTGTGAGATTTCTGGCTCACAGCCTTCCACCTGGAGTAAGTTCCCACCATAAATCCAGCGGCTTGATGGCTGCTGAGAGCCTGTGACCCTCCCTGCCTCTTTCTGAAGTGCTCAGCACACTGACAGCAGTGGTTGAAGCACATTGCTAGAAGATGCTCATGGCAGATAGTGTGAAACAAAGTATTAAAGTAGAATGGGGAGTCATGATCCTGTTGCCTAAAGACAAACTATTTTCCTTAACATATTTGGCTCCAAATACTTTTTAAGTAAATATAAACTTAAGAAATATAGAGTTTTGGAAAATTTATTATTTTTGTTTTATGTGTATGGTGTATTGCCTGCGTGCATGTGAATGCACCCGTGTCATGCAATGCTACGGAGGCCAGAGAGGGCTTCGGATTCCCCTGGAACTGGAGTTAAGGACAGTTCGTAGCTGCCATGTGGGTGCTGGGAATCGAACCCGGGTCCTTTGCAAGAGCAGTCAGTGCTCCTAACTGCTGAGCCATCTCTCCAGCCCAGATATATATATATATTTGGTCTTTTTGAGACAGGGTCTCCCTGTAGCCCCAGCTGTCCCGGAACTCGCTATGTAGACCAGGCTGGCCTTGAACTCATGAGATCCACCAGCCTCTGCCTCCCGAGTGCTGGGATTAAAGGCGTGTACTACCATGCCTGGCTTGTTATTCAATTGATTCTGACTTTA